CCTGGAGATATAAAACCTACCTAAACTGAGCCAATAAAACACAGAAAACCTAAACCGACCCATAATCAAGAGGGAAATTGAATTAGTAATAAAGACCCTCCCAACAAAGAAAAGCCCAGGACAGGAGCGCTTTACTTCTGAAATCTACCAGACATTTAAAGAAAAACTGACTCCAATTCTTCTCAAGTTATTCAAAACAATTCAAAGGGAGGTAATCCTCCCAAATTCTTTCTATGAATCCAGTAGCACCTTAATTCCTAAACTGAAAAAGATGCAATAGAGAAAGAGAAGCATGGGTGACTGATGAAAGCAACTGCAGGGAACACAAATAGAAGCATATCCTAAGTTCATGGGTCAGAAGCAGCAATATCACTTAAATGTCCACATTACACGAAATGATTTACAGATTCAATGTAACCCATAGAAAAGTACTAATGACATTTTTCATAGAACTAGAACAAAAAAGCTACTAAAATCTGTGTGGAACCATAAAAGACACTGAATAGCCAAAGCAATACTGAGCAAAATCAATAAATCAGAGGCATGATACTACCTGACTTTAAAATATGTCACAAATATACAATAATTAAGATAGCATAGTGGGCAGGCTTTGTGGCACCATGGGTTAAGCCATTGCTTGGGACACCTCCATCCCATATTAGAGTGTTTGGAGTCAAGTCCCAACTCTGATTCCAAACCAGCTTCCTGCCAATAATGTGCCTGGGATGCAGTGCCTGATGGCCCAAATACTTGGGTTCCTGACACACATTTGGGAGATTTAGAATTTCTGGATCCTGGCTTCAGGATGGCCCAGCCCAGCTGTTAAGACTTTTGGGAGCAGCAGATGCGATTTCTCTTACTTCTTTCTCTCTCTCTCTCTCTCTCTCTCTTTCTCTCTCTCTTTCCTTCTCCCTCTGTGTCCCTCTGTGTTGCTCTTTCAAATAAATAATATTTTAAAAGATAAATTTTTAAAGTTCATTTATTTGAAAGGCAGAGTTATAGAGAGGCAGAGGCAGAGAGAGAGAGGTCTTCCATCCACTGGTTCACTCCACAAATGGCCACAATGGCCTGAGCTGGGCTAATATGAAGCCAGGAGCCTTGAGCTTCTTCTGGGTCTCCCATGTTGGTGCAGGGGCCCAAGGACTTGGCCATCCTCTGCTGCTTTCCCAGGCATATTAGCTGGGAGCTGGATCAGATGTGCAGCAGCCAGGTCTCAAACTGCACCCATATGGCATGCAGGCACTGCCTGAGGTGTCTTTACCTGTATGCCACAGCTCTAACCCTTAATTTTTTTTTTACCTGCTATGCCACAACTCCACCGCCTAAATAATTTTTTTTTAAAGAGAGCATGATATTGGCATAAAGACAGATACATACACCAATGGAATGATTACATATCTAGAATTAAGCTCACTAAACTGCAGCCAACTGATTTCTGTCAAAGGTGCTAAGAATGCACATTGGGAGAAGGATAGTCTTTTCAGTAAATGGTGCTGAGGAAACTAGATAGCCACATGTAGAAGAATGAGTCTCTCCACTATGTCCAAAAAATTAATCCCACCAATCTCTATTTATGAAAATCAAGTAAAAATGGATTAAAGTCCTAAATGTAAGACTGGAAACTTTTAAACTACTAGAACAAAACACTGAGGAAATGTTTTGAGACATTAGAATGGGAAAGGATTTTTTTGGAGCAAATCCTCCAAGCAGTGGAAACCAAAATAAAAGCAGACAAATGGAAATGGAATTTTTTTTTTTTTTTTTGACAGGCAGAGTAGACAGTGAGAGAGAGAGAGACAAAGAGAAAGGCCTTCCTTTGCCGTTGGTTCACCCCCAAAATGGCTGCCATGGCAAGTGCACCGGGCTGATCTGAAGCCAGGAGCCAGGTGCTTCTCCTGGTCTCCCATGCAGGTGCAGGGCCCAAGGACTTGGGCCATCCTCCACTGCCCTCCTGGGCCAGAGCAGAGAGCTGGCCTGGAAGAGGAGCAACCGGGACAGAATCTGGCGCCACAACCAAGACTAGAACTTGGGATGCCGGCGCCGCAGGTGGAGGATTAGCCTATTGAGCCACAGCGCTGGCCCTACAAATGGAATTTCATCAAACTAAAGTGCTCCTGCACAGTAAAGGAAACAATCAACAGAGTAAAGAGACAACATACTGAATGGGAGAAAATATTTATGAGATATATATCTGACAAATGATTAATAACCAGAATATATAGGACACAGCACTCAACAGCAAAAAAACAACAACAACAACAAA